CCCCAATGGGTGATGTCCCTGGGGAGCTCTTTTGGAGCTGTTTCGACCGAAAGAGAGGTAAGGCAAGGGTACATTCTAGCCCCCTTACTTTTCAATCTGTAATTCAATCATTCCAGCTCTCGCATCTCCTGATCATTACCTTCCAAAGTTAGCAGTCTGTGCAGCTTTGCTATATGCAGACGACGTTGTAATTTTGTTTGTCTCCAGAGATAGGAATAAGAAAGGCATTGAGCACACTGGCCTCCTTCTGCCTAAAATAACGGGTTGTAATAAATTATCAAAATACTAGTGTTAGTTTTTGCATGACACAACTGTGGGATGCATTAATGGCAAATTCATAGGGCCTCAATAGAGCAGGTGCAAACTTACAAACATCTTGGGGTGCAGTTCCAGGCCTCCTTATCTTGGGGCACACATTTCTGTTTTGGGGCCAGTGTTGCTCAGTGTCTTGAGATTCTTCCGTTCAAAGGGGGCACATAGTTTTGTTGCAGCTTGCAAGGTCTTCCTTGCTAAGGCTATTTCTCAGCTTTTTTATGGTGTTCAGATTTGCACTTTTACAAAGTTTAATACCTGGAAGCTGTCCAGTCCGAGTTTATAAGAGCTATCCTTGCAGTTCCAAGAAGCGTAAAAAATGCTGCCTTTTGATCAGAGACAGGTTTGATTTCCAGAGCCTGGCACTTTCTTGTAAATGTCTATTTAAAATCATTATCTTTTTCCCCTGTGGCCTGGCCCCATTGGTTCTCAGAAACCATTTTAAATTTACCTGGCTACCAAGAACTAACATCAAACTCCTTTAGGGTGTCTTTAGAGAGCCTTTGTCCATGATGGAGAAAATTTTCTAAGAGGAAACTTCTGATTTACTTATCCTGTTTTCAACTTACAAGTTTCTCTCTCCCTTCTCAAGATGAGACTTGCTTTGTTTACTCAAGCAGGACACAAGAGTACTTCAAATACCTTATTATGGGTTTGCAAAGCCAGGCCAAGCACACATGAACATGATCAGCAACATTCCATAGGCAACACATCGATACAAGAAAACAAGGTGTTTTTATAAGCAAGCAACAAGAAACTACAAGAGTATAGATTGATTACAAAAGGCTTAAAATAATTTTTAAAAACCATAAGTACCACTGTTAGTTGGCTGGGGAATTCTGGTTGTTAAAGTCCATACATCTTAAAGTTGCCAGGATTGAAAAACACTGATTTATCCCATTTTAAAGAGCTACCCTGGTAGAAAGCATGATGCTTCTCTCTCATTTCTTCTGTCTGACTAGGACTCTGATGTATCTTTTCAGGTTGTGCCACTATTTGTTGTTGTTGTTTTTTTTGTCCCACCTATGACTGAAAATTAGTGCTAATCCTGAGGATCACCACCGATATTTGTATTATATTAATGTTATTAATTGCATCTTTTTATTACTTTTATTATATAAATTTATTATATCTTAATGCCTACTTTTTAATCTGATCAATAATTTTAAGTGTATGTGTTGCTATACAGTGTTTTCTGGCCCAGAGGCCGTAATAAAGGTTTGTGGTTGTTTATTTATTTATTTATTTTATTTATTTACACAATTTATTAGCCGCCCATCTCATTTTTTCCACGCATGTAAAAATCAGCTGGCGATTCCATTGCACTGTCATAGTTGTGATTTTTAAGTGTGATGGCCATCTCAACTTTTTTAGACCATTGCTTGCGGGCACTCTGGGCAAGGAGCATGGCCAATTTCGTGCCAGCGTCAAAGGGCATGGAGAGGATCTCAGTTCAGTGGGAAAGGGCTGGAGAGAAGCAGAAGGGACTGACAGCTGACCACAAGGCCTTCCTAAAAGAACAGAAGCTGGGCAGAAGAATTTCCTTGCTGTGCTTTGCATGACTTGATAGGACAATGCCACTGTACAAAACAACCCCCAAAGATTATTTTCACCTGCCAAATCTCCTTATTTCTGACTCAAACCGCCAACAAGGTAATCATGACATTAGTACAGACATATGTATATTCAACGGCATCATTAAGTCATCTCCCTGATGACCACCGTTCTCCCCTCTTATCCCCTTCGAGAATTCAGGTGGAAGGTTATATCTGTTTAGATCCATTTCTCCTTCTATTTTTCTCAGCCCAGCAATCAGAACCTGCTGCAAATTCTCACCGCATTACATTATTGCTTGACGAAGCAGCAGAAATCTTGCCAGGAATATCTGATTTTATTTCTGTCCAGTTTTGTCCTTGATACACTTTAGAAGAAAGTGCAATCTGAATTTAGTATATTTACTTTGGTTTATCTGTCCTCGAAAGTGTTCCTTTTGTAGGGTCTTTGACCTAGACTCTTGGTTACAGAATAACTAGGGCTGTAATCCTATACACCACACACTCGGTAGCATTTATGTTTGAGGACACGTATGTAGGATTGCACTTTGAGTCACTTCTTTTGACACTGAAAGTTATGTCATTTTTTTAAAAAAAGAAAAAAATCTACATTAATACATATGTTTCTTTTATTAGTTTATAACCCAAGAGATACTGGATTTCTATAATGGAGTTAAGCAACAGTTCTGAACTATAGTTTTATAATGCACTCATAGGTTGCCAGGTTATTTAAAACGATTTCAAAAAGCAGCACAGGGGTATGTATTATATATATTTTTTTGCACTTAAGATTGTATACAGTTCCCAAAGATCTGCAACCTGATCATTTTGTTTTAGAAATTAATGTAAAAAGCAGAGATCGTGGGATCACAAAGTTTGAAGTTATTACTATGGTTCTCAGTTCCTTATCTGCATGAAACTTAAAAAGAAGACCATTAAACAGACCTACAATTAGGTCATTAAACAGACCTACAATTTAAATGCAGGGGCACCAAAATTAAACACAGGATAAACCCATATATAATATCTACCCTCTTCAAGATTCGCCCTCATCATCACTGCCATCTATCTAATTAAAATAATTTCTTTTTAAACAGGGGAATTCAACCCCTGCTTGATGCAGAAAATCCAGATAGACTATTCCTGACAGATCAGCTTACCCCCAACTTGGGGCTCTCCAACCATGCAGGTCTTAAAGTCCCAAATTGTGAGGCAAAAAATGTCTAAAGTTGGTATATTGAGAAGATGGAGGTGATTTTACAGTTTCAATCAAAGAGGCATTAACACTCCAGCTGGCTCCCATCCTGCCAACCAGTTGCAAGTCTTCTGTCTGCAGGCTAAACCAGGTTAGTGTTAACCTTGGTTAGCTTATTTGTGGCTCAGTGGGTTGGGTGAACAATAGCAACTGATACATAATCTTTCTGGGAATCCAGAAAACAGGTGAATTCAGACCCCAGGTCAGGCCTGTTGTCTGAACGTAGCCTCTTTGACGCGCAACTGGACAGCCTCCCTAGCTACGCTCACAGTAGTCGCCATGGATACGGCGAGCCCCCGGTTGCTATGGCTACGTGGCAAATCCCGAGCTCGAGCAATCCCAGAACCCCTCGCGGCGACCTCGATTCCGACCCCGCTCGGTGATGGCCCTGTTTGCTCCGCCCACTCTTCTTGGGTCCGCTCACAAGCCGTGCGACAAAACAAGGCTCGAAGTCGACGTCATCAGGACGCGACGTCGAAGCGGGTCGCGGAAGCGGCTGCCGGGCGGCGATGAGGTTCCTGCGGGCCTGGCGGGGCG